TCCTCCTCTTTCTCCTCCTCCGCCTCCTCTTTCTCCTCGTCCTCCTCCTCCTCCTCCTCCTCCTCCTCCTCCTCCTCCACCTCCTCCTCCTCCTCCTCCTCCTCCTCCTCTTGAGGCCATTTTTTTATTGCTTGGGGCATGACGGGCGTCATGGCCCCCGCTCCCCCCCCCCCCCTATGACGTAACGCTCCCCCCCCCAGTGCGCTCTGGGCACTTCCGCCGTGCGCATTGGGATCCGCGTAGGTGTCCGCGTAGGAATCCGCATAGGTGTCTGGTCCGCTGGCGTCGTCGTCGTCGTCGTCGTCGTCGTCGTCGTCGTCGTCGTCGTCGTCGTTCGTCGTTCGTCGTCGTCGCTCGTGGCTCGTCGCTTGTCGCTCATCGTCGTCGTGCGCGCGGACGCGGCTGGAGCCTGTTTGTAAGTCCGGGCCGATGACGGCAATCATCTGGGGGGGGAGTGGGTCGATGACGTCGCGTTTCGCGCCGGCGGCGTGAATGGTTAGGAATGACGGAGGACGGGTAGCACGAACATGTAGGTGGCGATATGCACCACAACGCCTGTGTACATTACAGTGCCCGCGTGCACCACAGCGCCTGTGTACACCACGCCGCCGATGTACACCACAGCAGCCGCGTGCAACACAGCGTCCGTTTGTGCCACCATGCCTGCGGGCACAGCAGCTCCTGTGTACACAGCGCCTCCGTACACCACATCAGCCGTGCGCAACACAGCACCAGTGTACATCACAATGCCTGCGTTCATTGCAGTGCCTGTGTACGCCACGGCGCCTGTGTGCACCACATCAGCCGTGTGCAACACAGCACCATTGTTGTGTATAGAATTTCAGAAGGAATCCTTGTGACAAAATAGAGCGCGTGTGGATTCCAGAGAAAAGAATGGAAAACAAATCCTCATGGACAAAGGAGCGCCGCTGGAATCTACGAGTCCCCCCCGAGTCCGCCCGCATCACCCTAACTCCCATTTGCGCCCAGGAGGCTCCAGCTAAACTGGCCGTTCGAGAACCAAATGGACCGATTCAATCGACCATTCTGCGGTGCACGCTGAAATGCGCACGAGCGTTGTAACGCCAAGCCGCACGACAGGGGGTAGGAAGGAGGAAAAGGAGGACGATGATGATGATGATGAGGAGGAGGAGGAGGTGGAGGAGGAGGGAGGAGGGAAAAACGTCGCATTCGATTATCAGAACTTTCCTGGCGTGGCGTTTAGTTGTCCGCATCAAATCCTGACGTACATGCTCCTTCTACCTGTCTTATGCACGCAGGCACTGTGGTGTACACCAGCGCTGCGTTGCACGCGGATGCTGCGGTGTAGACAGGCGCTGTGGCGTGCACAGGCGCTGCGGTGCACGCAAGCATTGTGGTGTACACAGGCGTTGTGTTGCACATGGCTGCTGCGGTGTATGTACACCGGCGCTGTAGTGCTCCCAAGTATTGTGGTATACACGGGCGGTGCGTTGCACACGGCTGTTGCGGTGTATTCAGGCGCTGTGGTGCACACGCGCGGCGTGGTGCACGCGAGCGTTGTGGTGCACACAGGCGCAATGGGCAGATCGCCACTTACATGCTGCTCGCGTCGTCGTCGTCGCTCGTCGCTCGTCGCTCGTCGCGTCGTGCGCGCGGGCGCGGCTGTGGTGCTGGAACCACACGGCGGGGGGGGGTGTAAAGAAACGCCTTCCTTCCTCCTCCTCCTCCTCCTCTCCCTCCTCTTCCTTCTCCTCCTCCTCCTCCTCCTCGTCCCCCTCGCTTCCTCCCCCTCCCTCTCCCCTCCCTCTCTCCTCCGCCTCCCTCTCTCCTTCCTCCTCCCCCTCCTCCTCCCTTCCCCTCCTTCCCCCACCCCCTCCCGCGCCAGACCTCTGCGGCGGCGTCGCCCACGCCCGCCGCTACCCGGGCGGCCAGCGGAGCGGCCGTCGACGTGCGCCGTCGTTACCCGGCGCGCTGCCCGGCCCCGCCCGCGGCGGCGTCGGCGACGGCCTTACGGCGCCTAACGTCGGAGAGGGCTAGGACGAGGATAAATCCCTTCCAGGGCCGTTCCGGAGCGCTCTCAGAGCGTTCGGGAACGTTTGGAGAAGGCCGCGGCGCCCGAGACATCCTCCAGAGCCGCCAGTTCTCAGAGATTCTCGATCCATCTATCCTCACCCGATGTTATCCTCGTCCCAATTTATCCTCTCCGATTTTGTCCTCACCCGATGTTACCCTCAATTTTCTTTATCCTCACCCGATGTTATCCTCACTCGATTTTATCCTGACCCTGCCTTGAAGAAACAAGACGATAGAGGGCTTGGGTGGCGGCTGCGGCGTGGGTGGTGAGTGGTGAGTGGCGGCGGCGAGAGGGTTGGGGGCGGCGAGGTACCGATGCTGCTGCTCGGCCTGGGATGCCTTCGTCGCAGCAGCTAAATCCTCGCGGTTTGGGTCAGAGAGCACCCAGGGAGAGGTCTGGAGGGCATCGTGCCCTCCTTACGAAAACAGTAAGGTCTGGAGGGGCATCGTGCCCTCCAGGCTTTCTCCTTACGAGAGAGGGAGGTCTGGAGGGCATACTCCCCTGCAGACCTTTCCTTGCTAAGAAATCAGGTCTGAGGGGCGTATGCCCTCCGGACCTCTCCTCACGAAAATATGAGTTCTGGAGGGCGTAATTCACTCCAGACCTTTCCTTACGAAAGGGGAAGGTCTGCAGGGCATCATGCCCTCCAAATCGCATTTGTTCGTGTCGTTTGGGGCGCACTGCCGAGACCAGAGTTGGCGCTATCCGTAAACCCTGATTCCGGTCTCGGAAATACACTCCACGCGGCAAGAAAAAGTCAGGCGGAAATGTCGGACCTCGGTCAAAAGTAGGACGGCTGTTTCCGCAAAAGTATGGCGGAAGCAGCGACGGCAAAGTAGGCGGTAAAATCGACATCAACGGAGCTCGAACAATATGGCGAAAAATTCCACCATACTTACAAAGTCGCCCAAACTATGGCGGATCTGGAGTCAGGGATGAGGGAGGAATTGAGGGAGGGAGGAGAGGAAGGGAGGGGGAGGAGGAGGAGGAGGAGGAGGAGGAGGAGGAGGAGCAGGAGGAGGAGGAGGAGGAGGAGGAAGAGGTAGAGAAAGGGAGTGGGGGGACGAATGGATCCTCCTGGCCTCACACTCGCCGCAGAAGACATAGCAATGGACGAATTCTCCCAGGCATAGGACCAGTTGCTAATAGTTCTTCCGCTGCCGTCGCAGTAGCGGACAAGAAAGAGGGAAGGTGGGGGGGAGGAGCATGAGGGTTTTCAGTGTGTCCGGGAGGTTACGGGGGTCTTCGCAGGGTTCATCGCGGCTTTAGAGGGTCCAGGGGAAGGGGGAGGAGCTTTAGGAATGAGGAGGCCTCATACCTTTCAAATGGACTGGCCGACCCCGTTCTGCATGTTGTTCGAATGTTTGCGCGATTCTTGGAAGTTCTGGAGCCCCCAGGGAGGGAGGGGATGAGGGAGGAGTTGGGAGTGTGCCTGGGCCATGATACCTCCCCAGATCCCATTGCCCCCTCCGCTTCTTTCCCCCTGGCCCCTCTCGTCCGTGCACATGTGGAGGAAGAGGAGAAGGAAGAGGAGGAGGAGGAGGAGGAGGAGGAGGAGGAGGAGGAGGAGGAGAGCCGCGAGGTAGGGAGGGAGAACAGAGCGAATGATGAGGGAGGAGGGAATGACAGGAGTTTCATTGCTCATTGCGCGGCCAGGAAGGGGAAGGGGAGCGCGAGAGGGGGAACCCTGCGAGAGCCGGGGCAGGCTCGGCTGGCGAGGGTGGAACCTTAGCGGAGTGAGCCGCGGCTGTGGAAGAGGGGAGGAGGCAAGGGTGGGAGGGGGGAAGCGGGAGCGGGGAATTGGGGACAGGGAGGAAGAGGAGGGACGGGGAGGGAGAGGAGGGACATGGAGGAACAGCGAGGGAGGGATGGCCAGGGAGGAACAGGAGGGGCAGGGAGTGGCCAGCCCCGCTCGCAAAAGCTTCGACGCAGGCGCCCAAGGGGCTTGTATCCTTACCGCGCATCCTTATTATCACTTTTGATTGTATGTGGAAGGACGGGGGGGAAGATTACTGGGAGGAAGGAGGAACAAGCACCCCGACCCCGACAATTGGCGTTTACTAAGCGGCCATGGGCGTTTACTACCCTTCCCTTCTCGACTCCTTTCTTGGGCGCGTTGACGCAACAGCTTCGCTTATCGGGGGGTGCTTACTATGGGGGGGGGGATTTCTACTCTCTACTGAAGAGGGAAGGGAGGGAGGGGAGGGAGGAAAAGGAGGAGGAAGGAGGAAGAGGAAGAAGAGGGAAGGGAAGGGAGGAAGAGGGAGGAAGAGGGAGGGAAGGGCAAAGAGGAAGAGGGAGAGGGAAGGGGAGGCAGAGGGAGGAAGCGGGAAAGGGAGGCACACCGCCCGGGGTGGCGAGCGGTGCAGCAGCCGGGGCTGCTCTGTGCCCGGCGCCCGCCGGGCTCGCGCTTCGGCGTCGCGCCCAGGCCTGGCAGAAGGTGCTGCCCCCGGGCGCGCGGGGGGCGAAGGCGCCGCCGCCGCCCCCCAGCCGGCATCGCCTGGCCGAGCCCTTCCTCCTGTTTCTCTCTCCTGTCTCTTCCCTCCCTCCTCCCTCCTCCTCCGCCCCCTCCTCCTCCTCCTCCTCCTCCTCCTCCTCCTCCTCCTCCGCCCTCTCCTCCTCCTCCTCCTCCTCCGCCTCCTCCGCCCCTGGCCGGCAATTCTATCGGGGAGCAAACAATGATATAAATATACTTAAAACAAATCGGAGGTCTTTGCGTTTTTTTCGGATCGGCGCTGGGCCCCCCTGGCGGCGCCTCTGGCGCCGCCTCTGGCGCGCTGCGCGCCAGGGATGTGGGGTCCAGCGCCGATCCGAGAAATCCGCGAGGACCTCCAAGTTCTTATGTTTATGTAATTGTTCTCTCCGACTCCGGCTCCAACTCCGGGTCCCTACTCTCCGACTCCAGGTCCTATCCCATCCCTCCGACTCTGACCCCGATTCTTATTTTCATCTTTCCGACGGTGGTCCCGACTCTGATCAAATGTATTCGATTGTGGCAGTCTTTGTGGTTCTTCTTCTCCGACTGCGGCTCCGGCACCCACTCTCATCTCTCCGATCTGGCTGCCATTTCCCGACCCCGGCTTCTGAGCGGCCAGCCCATTCCGGCGCCCCGGCGCCCTCCCTCCGCACCCTCGTAGGTGCCTCGTCGCGGGCTCTTGTCTCTTGTCTTTTGTAATTGTTCGTTCCCCGACCCTAGGCTTCCCAGATTAGGGTCGGAGTAGATGGGGTCGGAGGATCGCGCCGCATCGCCGATGCATCGGCGATGCCGCTAGATGTGGAGCTCGGTTTTCTCCACCCTAGTCTCGCCGATGTATTGCCGGCATCGCCGATGCATCGGAGATGTATCGGCGATGCGGCGAGATCCTCCGACCCCATCTACTCGGACCCCATCTGGGAGGCCTCTACTGCCGTCGAGGATAAAAGAACCCTAACCCGATCCCCACTGTCTAGCGCACGCTCAAGTCAGCGCTCATGGGACACACGGCTTCATTCATTACGTAGGCTGTTTTGGAGCGGGAACTCTTGTCTGCATCGTTCGGGATGTCTGTCCGACAGAATTGGAGGTCGGAAAATCAACAAGAGCACGTCGGATCCGGAGTCAGGGCGGCCACCCGGGGGCGCAGAGATGTTCTTCGTTCCCCCTCGAGAATACAAGAACCCCTAATTCGAATAACACAATGATCGGGGGAAGATTTATGGCCACCGCCCCCGTGCGCGTACCTTGTGCAGGGGCGGCTTGTTCGCCAGGGTGGTGTACAAAAATAATGCCCCCACGGGATGCTAATTCTGTACAGATCATCCACGGTCTTGTGCCGGACCAGCTTTTTGGCGAGGGTGGTGTACAAAAGTCGCGTTCCCAGATGCAGACGTGGCCAAACTTAAGTCCCCGTGTGTACAGTAGGGAAAATACATCGGGGTGGATTGGTTTGTTACCTCGGCAGGACAGACCCTCTGTCCCTCGTGGTCGGGGCCTCTCAACCTAGGTCCGCTGCCAAAGGGTAAGGGGCCCTTCCATTGCTCACCACACCGGGCCATGGCATCTCAGCCCCACCCCCTGAGGTCCTGGCGTCGCAATTGTTTCGCACCAGGCAACGTCGCTCCACGTCGGGCCCCGGAGGCCCCCGCGCATCGATCTGACTCGAACGGTGCTGCAGAAAGATGGGGCCTTCGGGCCCTGGCCGTGATTTCTCGCGATGCCGCATTTTTGCTCGCAGCGTCGGATCTCAGGGACACGCCCCAAGCGGGGGTAGGTCACGCGATGCTCGAAGGGAGCAGCACGCATCCCCGCTCAGCGTAGGGGGGGGGCGCGGTGGGTCGGCCAGTTGGGCCGAGGCCGTGCCAGAGTTTGAGTGGGGATCGGTTGCGGTCAAACCCTGCGTGAAGGCAAGGCTCTTACCGCAATTGCATGTTGCATCCTGTCGGCTCTGACCATCCCGACCGTTGAAGGAGAGACCTTTGCAACAAGCGTTGAGGAACCACTTCGCGTGATCCCCCATCCTCTCCAGCTTGATAAGATTGAGGAATCATTTCCTGAGAAACGGGACCAGAAACACTTTGAGCCGAACGTCTCGAACGCGATATTTTCCAATGTTGAGGTCGGAGGGAGGGGGGAACTGGGTTCGTTCTCGTGGGGGTCTTGCTGCTGCAAAATTGTTCCTTTAACCGCAGCATGGTTGGGTGGTCTTCGCTCCATTGCGAGGGTCTCGCCCCCCTTGAACTCCGTGGTGGAGTTCAAGGGGAGGGACGAGAGGGAGGAGGAAGGAGAAGGAGAGGGAGAGGGATAGGAAGCAGGGAAGGAAACAATGCTAATAACTGCCTATCTCCCCGCGCCTCCCCCCCCCTTGCCGAAGTCACTCCTGGCCTCCCTGGGCCTCCCCCTGGCCCCCAAGCGCGGACTTGACAACTCCGCCCTCGCCTAGCCCCCCGCTCAGCGTGGGCGTGGCAGCGGCAGCGGCAGCGCCGAGGCACGGCCAGCCCGGGGCGAGGCAGGAGCCGAGCCTTGGAAAGGCGTGCGTCCAGAGGGCGCCCCGTGGGCGGAGAGCGCCCTCTCGCTGGCGCGTAAGCGCGCCTCGTCGTCGTCGTCGTCGTCGTCGTCGTCGTCGTCGTCGTCGTCGTCGTCGTCGTCGTCGTCGTCGTCGTCGTTCGTCGCATCTTGGGACCCCCAGATTCTGATGTACTTTGGGCGCCTCCCTACTTCCAAGGATCAAGCGTTGTTCCCTCTTCCCTCCTCTTCAGGGGGCGGGCGGGATCCCAGTCTGCTTCCAGCGCCTTCCTGCTTCATGCTTCTGCCAACCTCTTCCGACCGACGGGTGCTCGTCGAGGGCCGGAAGTGCAGGAGTCTGTCGTCTGAGCTTTTCTGCGTTCCTCCTCCGGTCAAGTTTCGCCGCGACAGCAGCTCTTCTCGTGGCGCCGCAGCCAGCGAGGCGGTTGCGCGCGCCAAAGTC